CAGGTGGGTTTACAATGGTGAAAGCAAGCCCGAGGCAGCAGCATCCAAAGCTGCTGCTGCCTTGGGACAGAACAGGTGGGTTTACAGTGGTGAAAGCAAGCCCAAGGCAGCAGCAACTCTGGTTGTTGCTGCCTGGGGACTGAACAGGTGGAGGCATGGTGCTGAAACCAGGCCCAAGGCAGCAGCATCCACGGTTGCTGCTGCCTTGGGACAGAACAGGTGGGTTTACATTGGTGAAAGCAAGCCCAAGGCAGTAGCAACTCTGGTTGTTGCTGCCTGGGGACTGAACAGGTGGAGGCATGGTGCTGAAACCAGGCTAAAGGCAGCAGCATCCAAAGTTGCTGCTGCCTTGGGACTGAACAGATGGGTTTAAAATGGTGAAAGCAAGCCCAAGGCAGCAGCATCCAAAGTTGCTGCTGCCTTGGGACTGAACAGGTGGGTTTACAGTGGTTCCGCGCAAGCCCAAGGCAGTAGCAACTCTGGTTGTTGCTGGCTGGGGACTGAACAGGTGGAGGCATGGTGCTGAAACCAGGCCCAAGGCAGCAGCATCCACGGTTGCTGCTGCCTTGGGACTGAACAGGTGGGTTTAAAATGGTGAAAGCAAGCCCAAGGCAGTAGCAACTCTGGTTGTTGCTGCCTAGGAACTGAACAGGTGGAGGCATGGTGCTGAAACCAGGCCCAAGGCAGCAGCATCCACGGTTGCTGCTGCCTTGGGACAGAACAGATGGGTTTACATTGGTGAAAGCAAGCCCAAGGCAGTAGCAACTCTGGTTGTTGCTGCCTGGGGACTGAACAGGTGGAGGCATGGTGCTGAAACCAGGCCCAAGGGAGCAGCATCCACGGTTGCTGCTGCCTTGGGACAGAACAGGTGGGTTTACATTGGTGAAAGCAAGCCCAAGGCAGTAGCAACTCTGATTGTTGCTGCCTGGGGACTGAACAGGTGGAGGCATGGCGCTGAAACCAGGCCCAAGGCAGCAGCATCCAAAGTTGCTGCTGCCTTGGGACTGAACAGATGGGTTTAAAATGGTGAAAGCAAGCCCAAGGCAGCAGCATCCAAAGTTGCTGCTGCCTTGGGACTGAACAGGTGGGTTTACAGTGGTTCCGCGCAAGCCCAAGGCAGTAGCAACTCTGGTTGTTGCTGGCTGGGGACTGAACAGGTGGAGGCATGGTGCTGAAACCAGGCCCAAGGCAGCAGCATCCACGGTTGCTGCTGCCTTGGGACTGAACAGGTGGGTTTAAAATAGTGAAAGCAAGCCCAAGGCAGCAGCAACTCTGGTTGTTGCTGCCTGGGGACTGAACAGGTGGAGGCATGGTGCTGAAACCAGGCCCAAGGCAGCAGCATCCAGAGATGCTGCTGCCTTGGGACTGAACAGGTGGGTTTACAATGGTGAAAGCAAGCCCAAGGCAGCAGCATCCAAAGCTGCTGCTGCCTTGGGACAGAACAGGTGGGTTTACAGTGGTGAAAGCAAGCCCAAGGCAGCAGCAACTCTGGTTGTTGCTGCCTGGGGACTGAACAGGTGGAGGCATGGTGCTGATTCCAGGCCCAAGGCAGCAGCATCCACGGTTGCTGCTGCCTTGGGACAGAACAGGTGGGTTTACATTGGTGAAAGCAAGCCCAAGGCAGTAGCAACTCTGGTTGTTGCTGCCTGGGGACTGAACAGGTGGAGGCATGGTGCTGAAACCAGGCCCAAGGCAGCAGCATCCAAAGTTGCTGCTGCCTTGGGACTGAACAGATGGGTTTAAAATGGTGAAAGCAAGCCCAAGGCAGCAGCATCCAAAGTTGCTGCTGCCTTGGGACTGAACAGGTGGGTTTACAGTGGTTCCCCGCAAGCCCAAGGCAGTAGCAACTCTGGTTGTTGCTGGCTGGGGACTGAACAGGTGGAGGCATGGTGCTGAAACCAGGCCCAAGGCAGCAGCATCCACGGTTGCTGCTGCCTTGGGACTGAACAGGTGGGTTTTAAATGGTGAAAGCAAGCCCAAGGCAGTAGCAACTCTGGTTGTTGCTGCCTGGGGACTGAACAGGTGGAGGCATGGTGCTGAAACCAGGCCCAAGGCAGCAGCATCCACGGTTGCTGCTGCCTTGGGACTGAACAGGTGGGTTTAAAATGGTGAAAGCAAGCCCAAGGCAGCAGCAACTCTGGTTGTTGCTGCCTGGGGACTGAACAGGTGGAGGCATGGTGCTGAAACCAGGCCCAAGGCAGCAGCATCCAGAGATGCTGCTGCCTTGGGACTGAACAGGTGGGTTTACAATGGTGAAAGCAAGCCCAAGGCAGCAGCATCCAAAGCTGCTGCTGCCTTGGGACAGAACAGGTGGGTTTACAGTGGTGAAAGCAAGCCCAAGGCAGCAGCAACTCTGGTTGTTGCTGCCTGGGGACTGAACAGGTGGAGGCATGGTGCTGAAACCAGGCCCAAGGCAGCAGCATCCACGGTTGCTGCTGCCTTGGGACAGAACAGGTGGGTTTACATTGGTGAAAGCAAGCCCAAGGCAGTAGCAACTCTGGTTGTTGCTGCCTGGGGACTGAACAGGTGGAGGCATGGTGCTGAAACCAGGCCCAAAGCAGCAGCATCCAAAGTTGCTGCTGCCTTGGGACTGAACAGATGGGTTTAAAATGGTGAAAGCAAGCCCAAGGCAGCAGCATCCAAAGTTGCTGCTGCCTTGGGACTGAACAGGTGGGTTTACAGTGGTTCCGCGCAAGCCCAAGGCAGTAGCAACTCTGGTTGTTGCTGGCTGGGGACTGAACAGGTGGAGGCATGGTGCTGAAACCAGGCCCAAGGCAGCAGCATCCACGGTTGCTGCTGCCTTGGGACTGAACAGGTGGGTTTTAAATGGTGAAAGCAAGCCCAAGGCAGTAGCAACTCTGGTTGTTGCTGCCTGGGGACTGAACAGGTGGAGGCATGGTGCTGAAACCAGGCCCAAGGCAGCAGCATCCACGGTTGCTGCTGCCTTGGGACTGAACAGGTGGGTTTACATTGGTAAAAGCAAGCCCAAGGCAGTAGCAACTCTGGTTGTTGCTGCCTGGGGACTGAACAGGTCGAGGCATGGTGCTGAAACCAGGCCCAAAGCAGCAGCATCCACGGTTGCTGCTGCCTTGGGACAGAACAGGTGGGTTTACAACGCTGAAACCAGGCCCAAGGCAACAGGATCCAGAGATGCTGCTGCCTTGGGACAGAACAGGTGGGTTTACAGTGGTGAAAGCAAGCCCAAGGCAGCAGCAACTCTGGTTGCAGCTGTGTGCCTTTGCCCCGTGACACGTGAGCGCGATAGGACCCTCAAGGCAGCAGCGACCATTGTCGCTGTACTATAGTAGCAGTAGCAGAGAAATGGGCACTCACCTGGGCTATCCTCTGTAGCGATCCGCAGGGGCGTGTGCTGCACCTTGCTCCCCGTCACTCCGCAGTATCCGCTTTAGTTGTGCGCGCGGTGGTTGTAGCCAGGTCACCTGGAGGGCGCGCTTCTCGTCGCCGGGAACGCGGGCTCCGCGTCGTCTGGAACGCGGGCTCCGCGTCGACTGGAGGGCGGGATCAGATCCGCCTGAAATGCGAGATCCGCGTCGCGAAAAAATGCGGGCTCCGCGTCGCGAGGAATGCGGGCTCCGCGTCGCACAGAACGCGAGCAGCTAAATGTGGCGAGCGAGTGCTGCTCGGCGCTTGGTGCGCAAGCCGAATCTAGTCCGCTTTCTTCCCCCTGGCTAGTCACAACGACTCCAATACACTCGTCGTTTCTTGTTGTGCCTAGCTACCCGTAGTCTCCAGTCTGTCATCACGACCTTTTTCCCGTTAGTGCAATCGCGCTTGCACGTTCCTACACTTTGCTGTTGCCAGCTCTAGCGATGGTCGTTACCCAAGTAATCTTGGGTAAGGATCGTCTCGAACACGTTTCTGTTGTGGCGTTGAGTAGGTGGCGTTGATAACCTGCACGTGCTTTGCTTGCTCAGTTTTTCTATTTCCCGTTAGCATCGAGCTGATTCAGTGGTGAGGTGACTTCGGGTGAGCAACACTTTCCATGCTCGATGCAAGAGAGGATGTGTGAGAGAGGATGTGTGCGACACATTTGTCGCTTTGGGTTGGTGGGATTCGCAGGATTGGTGAGTGCGAAATGTTCACTTGTTTGCGGCGGAAAATTGTTCTCGCCAAGGGTAGCCAACCGAAATAGGCTTCGCAGATCTCGCCTACAGCCTATTTCAAATACACATAACTTGATAATTTACCATGCTGACCCCGGGCTTTAAGCGCCTCTGTCGTGTCGAAACTCAGGACATTAGCGAAGCAGTCCGAATCGAAGCATCGCGAGTCAACCCTCGGAGGTTAGGGTAACCGCCTGGAGGTTACGAGAAGGTCAAAGGTCAGCGACCTTTGACTTGACAAATACAGCGCGACAGCAAGGACACACAACTGACTCGACATTGAGCAGTTGCCCGAGTCGCACTGTATCGAATCGCAACAGTAAAACGGTTTTAAATTACCTATTCGTATTCCTTGTACTCTTATATAAACCTTTGTATTTGCTTATTTAAACAACTTACTTTTCCCTCACATACTAGCGCAAGGTGGTTCAAGTATTTTCATTCAAACGCTTCCGCTACTACAATTCTACTCAGACTTGAACTCTACAAAGATCCTAGGGCACTTCAGCCCAACAAGTCTAATGTATTTGACTTGAAAGTTTTAGTTGATTTTTTTAGCTAGAGTAATGTAGTTTGTACGAAGGTAGTAAAGAAAGTGAAAAAAACAACAGACATTCTTGTCTATATAGCAAGAGTGCGCTTATAATAAGTAAGGTTTTTTAAGAGGGTGCGCTTCTAATTGAGGATCGGCCATAAGCGCATTGCTCCAGATAGAAGCGCATGCGCTTAACATAGGCCTGCGGTTACCGTATATCCGGGGCGATACGGTATATTTGCCACTCAAGAACTTATATTGGGTCTTTTAACCTCAATCTTGTACATACATTCTAAGTTGTATCTAAACTGGCACTAGCGTAAAGTTCTGTCAACAAGTGATTACACCACTTTCGTGCGCTTTCCACAGAGTGCCTGAAAGTTTGTCTCATACCCAATTCTCGCAATAGGGCCATCAGACAGTGCATCATTAATTGCACTTTGAGTCTCAGCCAGAGTGGTCTTAATTTGAGCATTTGTAAGAATAAAACTGTAGCGCTTGTGGTGGCGCTTGTGATGTTTCTCACGTTTTGACCCACTTGGCCAAGGGCAGTGGCAGCACAAGACGCCCCAGCGCTGAAGGTAGGCATCTTTCCCTCAGACCTGATATGTAAAATTTCCATATAATATGTAATGTAGTATGAAGTGGGTGAGTACCTGCCAACAGGACATGGAGAGGGATAGGGGAGACACGAGGCGGTAGGTGAGCACAACTTGGGTCTCAGCGATTAGCTATAGTACCCCACAGCCTTGAGGACATACTTCACTGCCTTGATGACGTACTTCACAGCCTTGATGACGTACCTCACTGCCTTGCTGACGCACCTCACTGCCTTGCTGACGCACCTCACTGCCTGACGTACCTCACTGCCTTGAGGACGTATTTCCCCGGTGCACCTTTGTCGCCGACAAGCCTGCCATTGAGCTTAGTAGGACGGAGCTTGGTCATATACTTCGCTGGCAATGGGAATGGGTCGGGCAAGAAACGGATGGGGACGCAGGGGACGGATACGAATCGAAGCACATGATTTGAGATGTTCTCAAGCGTCACGCCAGGACAGTTACGAGGAGTAGCGTACCACCACGTATTAGTATGAGCATGATCATGTGCAAAATGCTGGCTAGTTATTCGGGTGCACTACAACCCCGTCATTTGTATGCCAAGATTGATTCGCATATTCACACAAGAACAAGATATCAATATATACTTTGTGCATAACGGTCGTAAACGCGTACCTATCGTCTTCCCCTTCCACGCCAGGGGCTTGGTCTGAGCGGCAGACGCGGCAGTAACGCCGCCGTCGCGGAGTGCCGCTGGGAAGAGTGATGCAGACGCGGCGACAGTGAAGAGCGCCGCACCTGGTGGAGACGAGGGGAAGACACGAGAGAGCAACCATTGACAGTGCGACTTAGCCCTTTGAAAGAGACACTTCTGTACTCCGAGTGCGAGTCGCACTGGCAGTGCGACGCTGAGTGACATCAAGTCGACTCGATGCGCTCATTGACCAAAAAATCGGTGACAGATTCGGATCGTCTTGAAAACTCTGTCCTTGAAATAAGAGTGGAAACCAGAGATCATGGGTCATCTAGTGTGGTGGCATGGCAATAGAGCTTACAGAGAGGATGACGAAGAATGACGCCGTGCGCTTCATGTTAGTAACGTAATACTAGAAATTTTGGAAAGGATCTGGCTCGTTTGAAATGCAATGCACCGTCTTTTAGCCTGAGAGGCTTGGGGATGCGATGCGAGGCGAGTGGCAGCATGATGGTCCAACGATGCGGGTCTGAAGGGATCATCGGCGGGACTGGGGAGGCGACAGCCATGTTTGTTGGAAGTCGTCGTCAGCATCAAGAAGAGATCGTCCAGGTGGAGGGAAGGAAAGCGGGTTTGGTACGCTGTCACGTGAATAGAGTATGACATTGTCTCAACAACATCGGTGAATCATGTACGGACAGACACGCCAGCTGTGCAGCAGGATATGTGAGCGTTAGGGTGCATTCCTGGTTGGTGGCAGGGCAACTGTCACATCGAGTTGGTGGCAAGTGTACCCAAAAATTCAGTGGCCGGAAAATGTGCTTGCCACCAACAGTTGCCCTGCCACCATTTCAGGAATGCACCCTTAGTTGCGGGTGGCAGGGAGGGAAGGGAGGGAACGTCGAAGCTTGTGTTTATGTAGTGTGCGTTCCCTAACGGTGCTGTTTGAAGTTTGCGGATTACCCATCATGTAACGCAATCTGCGAAAGAACTTATCAACTGGATGAAACCTCGCAAACAGAAGCGCGTGACGCGTACGGCACACACTTCATACAGGCGAAATCGCAAAGACGAAGGAGTGACCACGCTTGCGAAAGTGGAGGTCACCGCCCACCGTAACAATTGAGAATGTTACTGGAGGCTCCAGCCACGCACACTCATCAGGAGCCGGGAGGAATGGCAGGTGAAACAAGCCACTCTCTCTTCGCGATAGACGTCAGCACATACTACTGTAGCAGCCCACTTCTGTTCGGCCCAGTTTCGCCTGTCTTCGCCGAGCTCGTCATGGTAGTAACATGACAGTAACGTCGCGCACGTTTGTTCGCAAGGCGAGTGAGCGAGCCGAGATGGGTCGCGGAGCAGAGGAAAGAATGGTCAGAAACTGAGGGCGTGGCACCTGGGGTCCAGAACTGCAAAATTCGAGAATGTCCTTTTTGTAACTGGTCTGATATTAGCCAGCTCCTTACTGCTCCTTCGTTCGCTTGGGATGCCTCCCCTTTCTCAGATCCGAAACCCAACTTCTGGAGCACAGATCCCTGCATGATGGGCCAAGTTCTTTGATAGGTTACGTAGGATACCTCAAAGTATGCTACCTTTGTGGGCATGTCCTGAGGGCCAGAATTCTTGTGAGGTGCGCATCTCTCGCGCCACGCCGTGCGCTACGCCATGGCGCCATCGGGGCCGACCTACTCTCGCCGGTCGACAGCGGTTGTCGCGCGCGTTGCGGCGGCGCTGCTGATGCTCGCCGCCGCCGCTGCCGCCGCTGGTGAAGGGCCCGTCTTGCGCAGGGCGTTAGCGAGGGCGAGGGCGGGTGAGCCGGTTGGGACATGGCGGCGAAATGGTTCGGACTTTGAGGCGCGGGATGACCGTAAATGGCGCGTGGGTGGGAACGGCGAGGCTTGGAGAGGGTATGGGTTCGACACGGACACGAGGGGAGATGGAATGAGCGATCGTGTGGTTGGGGGCTCACGCGCTGACATTGACAGAGGTGACATTGACGGAGGTGATATTGACGTAGGTGATATTGACGGAGGTGATATTGACGGATGTGACATTGACGGAAGTGACATTGATGGAGGTGACACTGACCGAGGTGACATTGACGGAGGTGACATTGGCGGAGGTGACACTGAAGGACGTGACAGTGACGGAGGTGACGGCGAGAGTGAAGGCCTAGGCGGCGACGATGTGGGCGGGTGGTTGTCGGGTCCGCACTCACAGCAGCATGCGCGTGGCGGCGACGAAGGGGGGACGCGAGGGCGGTCGCCAAGGGGCGCGCAGCGGGAATTGCAGGGGGAGCGGACGCGGGAGGGCAGGCGGGAAGCGTCGCGGGGAAGGGAGTTGACGGAGGAGCGAGGAGGTTCAGTGGGCGGAGAGGCGCGAGGATGTTCTGTGGGCGGAGAGGCGCGCAGGCGAGGGGAGGGCAGGCGAGGCACGGGTGGGCGTCGCAGGCTGGCGGATGGTCAAGGCAGTGAGGGGGGCGGTGGCAGTGATGGGGGCGGTGGCAGTGAGGGGGGCGGTGGCAGGTACGACGACGGTAGCGATGGGCGTGAGCGCATGCACGTGGGCGCGCGTGGCGGCATGGCGGGCCCTGGGGTGTGGGTGGACGGAGTTAAACGGCACACGCGGCGGGCAGGCGACAGATGCTGGAGCAAATGGGAGATGCGCATGTATGTCACGGTGAGATGCACATGTATGTCACGGTGAGATGCATGTATGTCACGGTGAGATGCACATGTATGTCACGGTGAGATGCACATGTATGTCACGGTGAGATGCACATGTATGTCACGGTGAGATGCACATGTATGTCACGGTGAGATGCACATGTATGTCACGGTGAGATGCACATGTATGTCACGGTGAGATGCACATGTATGTCACGGTGAGATGCACATGTATGTCACGGTGAGATGCACATGTATGTCACGGTGAGATGCACATGTATGTCACGGTGAGATGCACATGTATGTCACGGTGAGATGCATGTATGTCACGGTGAGATGCACATGTATGTCACGGTGAGATGCACATGTATGTCACGGTGAGATGCACATGTATGTCACGGTGAGATGCACATGTATGTCACGGTGAGATGCACATGTATGTCACGGTGAGATGCACATGTATGTCACGGTGAGATGCACATGTATGTCACGGTGAGATGCACATGTATGTCACGGTGAGATGCACATGTATGTCACGGTGAGATGCACATGTATGTCACGGTGAGATGCATGTATGTCACGGTGAGATGCACATGTATGTCACGGTGAGATGCACATGTATGTCACGGTGAGATGCACATGTATGTCACGGTGAGATGCACATGTATGTCACGGTGAGATGCACATGTATGTCACGGTGAGATGCATGTATGTCACGGTGAGATGCACATGTATGTCACGGTGAGATGCACATGTATGTCACGGTGAGATGCATGTATGTCACGGTGAGATGCACATGAATGTCACGGTGAGATGCACATGTATGTCACGGTGAGATGCATGTATGTCACGGTGAGATGCACATGTATGTCACGGTGAGATGCACATGTATGTCACGGTGAGATGCATGTATGTCACGGTGAGATGCACTTATGTGTTCCTCACCACTTTTCCCCGTCTTCCGCTGCTCTCTCTGTCTGCATCCCACGTGCCATTGGTCACGAGCCTCTCTCTATCACCATTTCTCTCTGCCCGTCTATCTAACTGGCAACCTGTTCTCCCCCCTCCCCTCTCTCTGCGTGCATGGCAGCGCCCCGACCGCCAGCTCCCCCATCACTGGCGTTGAGGCTGCGCCTGTTTCTCTTGTTTCACCATTCCCTCCTCGCCTCTTCTCCTCGTCTTCCTGTCCCCTCGCGTTCTCTAATGCACCCCGCCCTTCTGCATGGCCTCTCCCCCCAACCCTCTCTCTACGTGCACCGCAGCGCCCTGACCGGCAGCTGCCGCCATCACTGGCGTTGCGGCGGCGTCTGTCGGAGTACCGTCGGATGCACCGCCGCTGCACACAGATCCACGACTGGCTTGCCTTCTACCGCAACCCGTGAGCCTTCCTAGTCCGTGCCTCTGCCATTCCTATTCCATGCCTCTGCCATTTTTATTCCATGCCTCTGCCATTCCTATTCCATGCCTCTGCCATTCCTATTCCATGCCTCTGCCATTCCTATTCCATGCCTCTGCCATTCCTAGTCCATGCCTCTGCCGTTCCTATTCCATGCCTCTGCCATTCCTATTCCATGCCTCTGCCATTCCTATTCCATGCCTCTGCCATTCCTATTCCATGCCTCTGCCATTCCTATTCCATGCCTCTGCCATTCCTATTCCATGCCTCTGCCATTCCTAGTCCATGCCTCTGCCGTTCCTATTCCATGCCTCTGCCATTCCTATTCCATGCCTCTGCCATTCCTATTCCATGCTTCTGCCATTCCTATTCCATGCCTGTGCCATTCCTATTCCATGCCTGTGCCATTCCTATTCCATGCCTGTGCCATTCCTATTCCATGCCTCTGCCGTTCCTATTCCGTGCCTCTGGCGTTCATATCCACGCCTCTGCCTGTCTCCCATGCCCCCCCCCACCAATCACTGTGCGGGGTGCAGGTACATGGGGTGGAAGGATGGCGTTGACGGGCTGGGCAACTGCAAGTATCTCTTCTTTATGCCGCCCGCCTACCATGGTACGCCCCTGAAATGCCTTTGAGGCACAACAACACCAAGTATTTGACTTGTGGAGCAAGAAATGATTGGACAAAACGGAGATACATGAGAGGGGTTCAAGTCCCATTGCACCGCCTCTGCTCGCCATTGCAAGAGCCTTGCACAGAGCATCGACACGTGCGCTTTCTCTGCCCACTGTCTGCTGAGGGTGCATGTATGCCCGGCCGCGGCTGGGGCCTGGTGGGCACATTGGCAAGGCTGGGGGCTGTCTACGCATGCAATGGGGGGGGGGGGGGGGGTGGAGTGCGTGAGTGCGGGGGCTGGCAGGATGTGGTGCGGGGAGGAGGGGTGACGTTGAGGGGCAAGGCGGCTTGTTGTGTGATGTGAAGCTTCTCAAAGCTATTCCCATGGGGCATGGGTCTAGGGTGACGTGATGGAGTGGTTTTTAGGGAGACAGAAGGGTGTGAGAATGCAGGTGAGGCCCATGCAGGGCAAGCATACCATTGCTGTGGGCGGCCATTATGCGTGCACCTCACCCCCCTCTCTCCACGTGTGTGCCCTGGTCTCCCCTGCTGCACGCCTGCAGGCATGGGCAACCGCATAATGGCGCTCATCTCGGCCTTCGCGTACGCGCTGCTGACGAACCGCACGCTCATCATCCCACCCGACTCGTTCCTCTTCCGCTTCTTCTGTGACCCCTTCCCCGGCACCTCCTGGACCATCCCGCTCGATGCTTACAAGTGAGTCGCCATGCTTGCAACCACTCTGCTCTCAGCTGCATACTCTGCTCTCAGCTGCATACTCTGCTCATTTAGGGAGGGCTAGCCACCATCATCGAAAGCACCTGTTTTGCATGTCACTTCCACCACTGCCTTTCACAAGCCCTCCTCACATGCCCTCCTTTCTCTTTTCTCATATGCCCTCCCCACATTATGCACCTCATCCCACCTCCCCACACACACGCCTCCCCCAGCACCATATCCCAGACGGTGCACCGCTCGCTGGCGCGCAACCGAGGCCTTGTTAATGGATGGGACGGCCATGACGTCAGCATGCACATGTCATGGGAGTGAGTGACGTCAGCATGTACATGTCATGGGAGTAGATGACGTCAGCATGCATATGTCATGGGAGTGAGTGATGTCAGCATTTACATTTCACTTTCTGGTTCCAATCCAGCTTGCTTGGTTGCTGCTGTGCTGCACAAAATCACAGGAAAAGTAAAATTACAAAAATCTTTTTAAAGTTTATCGCTCGTGCGTTGAGTAGAGGTGCGCGATTCTCTTCTCTCACTCGCAAACCTGCTCCCCCCTTGTCTTTCTCTCTCTCTCCTCAACCCCCCCATCCCCCCCACCTCACATTTCTCTCGGATCTTTCCGCTCCCTCCCTCCCTTCCCACGGGCCACGGGTAGCTCCAAGGCGGACACGTGGGGCATGTTCTGTGAGGCGGAGCAGCAGGAGATGGCCACGGCGCGCTTCGCCACGCTCTACACCGACTACTTCCTCGTGCCGCACTTCTACCTCGTGCCCTCGCTGCAGGTGCACTTCTACCTCGTGCCCTCGCTGCAGGTAGTGTTGGTGCCCTCGCTGCAGGTATGTGCTGCTGGTAGGTGCTGCCCATACAGTGTTACATTGGTGTGGTACGGTGGGTATGGAGAAAGAACCCTTGGCGTTGAGAGCAGGGCCAGTGGGGTTGGCTGGCCCGGCTCTCGAGGTTGGGGTGCAGGCTGGGGTGCAGGCTGGGGTGCAGGCTGGGGTGCAGGCTGGGGTGCAGGTTGGGGTGCAGGCTGGGGTGCAGGCTGGGGTGCAGGCTGGGGTGCAGGCTGGGGTGCAGGTTGGGGTGCAGGTTGGGGTGCAGGTTGGGGTGCAGGTTGGGGTGCAGGTTGGGGTGCAGGTTGGGGTGCAGGTTGGGGTGCAGGTTGGGGTGCAGGTTGGGGCCATCATGACCTGCTGCACACGCTAATTGCAGCGGCACTGGCCTGTGCATTTACTTGTGGGGCGCGGTCAGGCATGTGTGCATGTGCCCAGTGGCTCACACGGCCAACTCACCACTTGCCCCGTTGGCAGTGCTGCATGAGTTGTGTGCGTGGGTCCGCCACTTCCCCATGCCGCAGGAAGGAAGCTTAGGTCGTTTTGGCAAGCCACGATGAGAGGCATGCCGCGTGATGGCAGCATCTTGCCAATGCTGTTCTGTGAACAATCCTTCTTTGCATGCTCCTATCTGTGTCACCACATGTTCTCTCATCCCCAACCTTGGCATCGCCCAACCTTGGCATCGCCCAACCTTGGCATCGCCCAACCTTGGCATCGCCCAACCTTGGCATCGCCCAACCTTGGCATCGCCCAACCTTGGCATCGCCCAACCTTGGCATCGCCCAACCTTGGCATCGCCCAACCTTGGCATGCATCGCCCAACCTTGGCATCGCCCAACCTTGGCAGCGCCCAACCTTGGCAGCGCCCAACCATATCGTCCTTACCATGCCCATTTGCTCCTTGCCCCCTCCCTCTCTACATGCCCACCCTTCTCTCCCTCTCCCTCTCACTCACTCCATTCCTCTCCCCGTCTGCTCGCCCCTGCAGGTTCAGCTCGAGTCCCTTTTTCCCGATCGACGAGTCTTCACGCACCTTTCTCGGTCAGTTGTCACCACCTTTCGATTTAAGCATCATACTCCAATCGTAACAAACCGGGTTCAATGTATGAGCCTCATGTCATCTCAACCTGGTTCGATGCAAACTTCATGTGATCTATGCCCAACTGCGAAGGTCTCCCATGGCCTGCAGCAACCCTTGTTGGTTCCACTCAAGCACCACCCTGTCCATCACCCGTGTGCCATACATGTGCCGTGCATGTGCCATGCATGTGCCGTGCGTGAGCCGTGCGTGAGCCGTGCGTGTGCCGTGCGTGTGCCGTGCGTGTGCCGTGTGTGTGCCGTGCGTGTGCCGTGCGTGTGCCATGTGTGTGCCATGCATGTGCGGTGCAGGTACCTGCTGCACCCCGCCAACTACCTGTGGGATCGCATCACCCGCCTCTACCACGGCCACCTCGCCCTCCACTCCCTCACCGTCGGCCTGCAGGTCCGCTCACAGGGGGGGGTGAGAGGGGTTAGGGGAAGGGGGAGAGGCCGGGGAAGCAGGTGGGAGTGGGGAAGGGGAAGGGGGATTGAGTTGGGGTGGGAGACATGGTGTTGGAATGACAGGATGGGAGGTTCGTAAGAAGGGAGCCGAGAAGGGGAATGGGGGGAGGGGAAAGTAGATAGGAAAGGAGGGTTGGAAGTAGGCCATGAGTATACATGTGCTCACCACATCTGTACGTGTGCATGTGTGTGTGCATCTGTGTGTGCATGTGTGTATGTGTTTGCATGTGTGTATGTGTTTGCATGTGTATGCATGTGTGCGTGTGTGCATGTGCGCATGTGTGTGCACGTGTGTGCATGTGTGTGCATGTGTGCGCATGTGTGGGCATGTTTGTGCACGTGTGGGCATGTGTATGAATGTGTGTGCATGTGTGTGCATGTGTGTTCATGTGTGTGCATCTGTGTGCATGTGTGTGCATGTGTGGGCATGTGTGGGCATGTGTGTGCATGTGCATGTGTGTGCATGTGTATGCATGTGTGTGCATGTGTATGCATGTGTGTGCATGTGTGTTCATGTGTGTGCATGTGTGTGCATGTGTATGAATGTGTGTGCATGTGTGTGCATGTTTGTTCATGTATGTGCATGTGTGTGCATGTGTGTGCATGTGTAGGTATGTGTGGGCATGTGTGTGCATGTGCATGTGTATGCATGTGTGTGCATGTGTCTGCGTGTGTGTGCATGTGTGTGCATGTGTGTGCATGTGTGTGTATGTGTGTCCATGTGTGCGCATGTGTGTGTGTGCATGTGTGTGCATGTGTGTCCATGTGTGCGCATGTGTGTGTGTGCATGTGTGTGCATGTGTCCATGTGTGCGCATGTGTGTGTGTGCATGTGTGTGCATGTGTGTCCATGTGTGCGCATGTGTGTGTGTGCATGTGTGTGCATGTATGTGCATGTATGTCCATGTGTGTCCCATGTGTGTGCATGTGTTTCCATGTCAGATCCGGGCATTCGAGGAGACAGAGGAGGATTTGATGGTGAATGTGTTTGAGTGCGCCACCAACATCGCCAGAGTGCTGCCGCCTGTCATGCCCACCGACCAATGGCGCCACACCGCTGCCTCTGTGAGTGGCACGTGAGGAACACAGCTGCCGCCATGGTACCCGTGGTCCCTCTCGTTGCATCTCTCGCTCCCAGTCCTCTGGATGCAAGCGTGCAAGCATAATGCAGTGAATGAGCTCGATCCGATGCGCAGGCAAAAGGGCAGCCATGCACCACTCCCCATGCACCACTCCCCATGCACCACTCCCCATACACCACTCCCCATGCACCACTCCCCATGCATCACTCCCCACTAAAGTGCACCACCCCCTTTGCACCGCTTTCCACCCCCGGGCAACGTGCAGGTGACGGAGGAGGCGCTGCTGGGCGTGCGCGGGCGCAGCATCGGGGCGCTGGTGGTTTCGCTCAACCCCACCCACGGCACCAAGCTGCGCGACCGCTACATGCTGGGCAAGCCGCTGGATGGCAGCACTGTCTCCGTCTTCAGGTGCCACCCACCACCGTCTACGTTCTGTGCACTGCTCTCTAGGTTTGGTGGTACTTACTAGACAGGATGTGCTGTGCTTACTCAGGGCTTCACATGTCATTCTTGTGGTGTGCATGCATGCAAGAGTGGGTTTTCTTTCATGGCATGATGGGGCACTCAGCGGGCATGAAACGAACTCATGCCTCTCCCATGCATCATCTCCCATGCATCATCTCCCATGCATCATCTCCCATGCATCATCTCCCATGCATCATCTCCCATGCATCATCTCCCATGCGCCATCACCCACACACCATGCACGTGGCAGTGTGAGTGGAGAGGGTCAGGAGAAGCAGGAGGACCAGCTTCAGTACGAGCTCGCCGTCACCGAGATGTGGCTCCTCGCCTTCTGGTGCAGCCCCCCGACCCCCCCTCTCCGCCATCACTTCTCCCCGTTACCACCTCACGTGCCCCATGCTTTTGAATCTCTCTTTTCACCATTTGCCTTCAGCATCACTCACATATGTCACCCATCCGTGTCTCTTCTCAAACTTGTGCTTTCATCCCTCGCGTTACACACATATACCTCTCAACATTGATCTCTCACATGACTGATTGGTGCTTGTTCCCCCATGCGAGCGTGCGCCCATGCGCCTGTGCGCCGCGGCGGGGTGGGCAGTGACGTGCTGCTGGTGACGGACACGTCCACGTTTGGGTACGTGGCGGCGGGGGTGGCGGGGGTGACGCCCTACACCATGAACGTCGCCAAGTGGAAGCACAGCGACTGGCGCTCCAACGGCCGCCTCGCCTGCATGCTCGGCTCCTCCGAGCCCTGCTATGTGCACCCCGTGCAGGAGCGCGTGCTGGTGAGTGCAGGAGCGCGTGCTGCTACGTGCCCTGCTATGTGCCCTGCTATGAGCCGTGCTATGTGCACCAAGTGCAGGAGTGCATCCTCGTGAGTGGATGAGGTTGGGGAGTGCGGTTGTCACAGGTGCCCATGGGACTGTCTCGCCTCGCCTGCATGCTTGGCTCCTCTATGTAAGCCCCGCTACGTGCACCAACTGCACGAGCGCTTGCTGGTGAGGGGGGGAGCGCTTGCTGGTGAGGGGGGGAGCGCTTGCTGGTGAGGGGGGAAGGACACTGGGGAGTGTGGTGGTTATGTACCCGTGCAGAGGTGAACTCTTGCATAGATCATGGGGGCGTGGGGGGTTGGGGCATATGGACACGTGTCCGTGTGTGCACACAGCACCACCAGTGTCTGCCTGTGCCCGGACCTACATGGCGCCATGCCTGTGCCCGGACCTACATGGCGCCATGCCTGTGCCCGGACTTACAAGGCGCCATGCCTGTGCCCGGACCTACATGGCGCCATGCCTGTGGCCGGACCTACATGGCGCCATGTCTGTGGCCGGACCTACATGGCGCCATGTCTGTGGCCGGACCTACATGGCGCCATGTCTGTGTCTCGTGTGCACTCTGTGCCCTGAGGGGCGCATGCAGCCTTTGCTGCTCCAGTGCTGCTCTCTGCACCGAGCTGTCACACCTTCAACCTCTCCTGCATCTCATAGGACTGTCTTGTAGTCTCAATGGTGAGCCCGAGCGGCCATGCCACAGGTGCTCTTTGTATGTCCTCTTCCCTTGTCTTCCACCATCGCCTTTACCCGACTTCTATCCACCACATATCTCCGCCCTCCCCAACACCATCCTGTCTCCCCCTCCCCCTCCCCCTGCCCCTCTCCCCGCAGTGTCCTGGAGAGGCAGAGAAGCGGCCGCTGGAGAACATACCGCAGACGCGGGCGTGCCACGCCACGGGCGTGGGGCTCACCACCAACCTGCCGCCGCTGCCACTGCCCTCCCACCATGACGCCTTGGATGCCGCACATCCAGCTCTACCACGTGCCTCTCATGGCCCTGTGGCTGCTGCTGCTGCTGCTGCTGCCGCTAATTCTGCTGCTGGCATGGGTGGAGGGTCAGCAACAGCAGGGTGGCGAGGGCGAGAGGGGGGAGGGCGAGGTGAGCAGCGGGGAGGGGAGCAGGGAGCAGGGAGTGCAGCGAATGGTGACTCCTATTATCTGGAGGAGGAGCACGCCTGACAGAAGGCAACTGTGGCTGTCACTCTGTGTGTGAACGAGCATTGTTGTGAACGAGCACTGTTGTGAACGAGCACTGTTGTGAGCGAGGATTTTTGTGAACAACATTGTTGTGAACGAGGATTGTGGGGAAAAAGCGAGCATCAGCGGCCATTTTTGGTTTCAGAGCACCCTTAAGTATCAGGGTACCAGGGTGACAGCACCCTGACTGCCAGGATGATGTTTCCTCCACCCTGTCCACACAAGGGTAAAAACTTCTGCACACTGTTTGTGTAAGGGTGTTTTCCTGAAGTTTGCCAAATTACCCTGTTTCATGTGTTGGCGCACTAGAGCAGCCATACTATGCCTTCCATTAAGTAACAACAATTACATAGGGATAGGGCCATGCCTTCACCTACAACTACAACTACATAATAGGATAAACACTACTCTAAACATTGGGGCCTTGCTCCCCCCTACTGTCTACAAACTCCAGCGCTCCAGGAATCATGCCCGAGAAGTCCCTAACGGGGCGCCGGTTCTTCTCTCCCCGGAAAACAGCAACAACATCAAACCAGTCCACCTGGTAGTTGAAGAGGGAGCAGCGCATGAGGGCTCGAAGGCTAGCATCGCCAATGGTGCCCCGTCCTCACGTCTTAATTAAGGTTCTGCTTTGAGAATCCCCTCTCGCATTCAACAGTGCTGAGAGGAAGAACGGCCACTGCCTGCCACAGCATCATGATGTTGGGGAATGCACGACACCAGGTGTCGTCATCACGAAGGGTGTTGGAGGGTGCTTGGTGTAAGTGTTCATTGTGGTGCTGCGAGTGCATCGTTGACGTGAACATCCATAGCTCTGCCATTGCCTTGTTGAGATCGAATCTTGAAGGACGTGCAAACTGGCAATCCAGAACAACACTCCGGACGGATGGGATGGGACAGCGGAGAGACAAGATAAGCAATTTAAGGATACATGCAGACAACATAACAAGGCATGCTGCTGGCACCTTAACAACCACATCCCTGCAACATTGGGAATGCAAAACACACAGAAACAGAACGAGTGTTAATAAACCAGGAAGTTTCCCGTGGAAGAGTGCAGCCAGCTGCTTCAGCCACTTTTTGAATGCAGGTAGGTCTGGGACAGGAAGAGCTTGGTGCCTTCTAGATTCTGCAAATCTGCCATCCGCCCCGCTAGCTGACTGTTGATACCAGAGGCGAACTTCACAGCAAGGGCGGCGCACGCCTCCAAGTCGCCATTCGTTGTGTGGCATTCGAGTCGCCTCTCATGAAGGCGAAACACGGTTGAAGCAGGGTTCCCGTCAGCATCGACGCCATCAGCACGCATTGTGTGAGTGTCGACTGAAGCGTGCCTCTCCAAAAAGTCCGGTAGCTGCATCTTGTATCTTTGTCCATACACGTGGCCATGTGGCACATCGATGTACCGCTGAATGATGCGCATGTGAGTTTGCACCACGAGGTGCGCAACCAGGGTCATGTCCACCTGTGGTTAAGAAGCAGAAAGGGAAACCAGCGGGGGTTTGTTAATAGCAGAGATTCATATTACACCCACCAGACACCACGGCATAGGCCAGGCACAAGCCGTTTCGGCGGTACCTCACCTGGCGCACTTGAAACCTTGTGTTCAAAGGGTTGAGCTTGCTTAGGATGTCCGCGAGAAATCAAAAGAAGGAACTGAAAGTTGAAGGAGGTTTGCGAAGATAACTACTACAACGGGAGCTAGACTACGGGCTAGGCACGGGTGCTCGTGTGATCTCCGCGTTCTTTGGTCCTTAGTCGTTTTCTTGTGCACACACAGCTTTCTAGTTCACGAGGAGAATTGACAAGAGTTTCACTAGAGAAGGTTGACAAGAATGGTACAATGAAGTTGGCATGGCAAGACAACATCAGAGCTAGCATTCAGGTCGCGAGACTGCCAGCGCAGCATGGTCGACTGCGTTGCAGCACGACTTGATCGACCACGCTTCAGCAGTGCAAAGTCGACAGCGTGCCAGCGTTGCTCACGCAGAACAGCAGCGCACCTGCTTCACAGGTGCTCGCAGATGATTGGTGGGCTGAGCCTCGTCACCTGCACAACGCACACACCAAGTCACCCCATGCTGACGACTCCACCTGATCCGCCATGTCGACCTCGGGATACCACCACCGAGGTCGGACTCCCCGACTTCGCCTGGGCGACCGTCGCACTCCTCCGCAGAACCTCGTCACCCAGGTAACCTGGTCGACCGGGCAACCACGTCGACCAGCTGCTCCTGTATGTGCCCGTCGACCTCCCAAGTCGACGGCCACCCCAAGTCGACCTCACCAGGTCGACCAAGCCCCTGGTCGACTAGCTCCAGGTCGACGTCACTTCTGGTCGACCAGCTCCATGTCGACCAGCGCAGTTGTCGGCCGACCCCCAAGTCGGCTACCTGGAGTCGGCGTCACCAAGTTGACGCCCAGTTGCTCGACGCCCAACTGCTTGACGTCCTGAGTCGAGGTCGACGTCGGCCCCTCCTTCGTCGACCACCAGGTCAGGTCGACCACCAGCAGGTCGACCAGCAGTTCGTCAACCGACTACCCAAGTCGGCTGCTCCAAGTTGACGGCATCAAGTTGACGTCCTCCGTAGGTCGACTTCCCAGGTCGACCTCCCAGATGGCTGCGCCACCTTGAAGTCGGCGCCCGTACAGTGCAGGTCGACCTCCTTGTCAACCAGCTCGCCCACTGCTGCAGGTCGGCTGCTCCCCTCACACCCGACCATGAAGCTGGCTCCGCCCAAGCGAGGACAGGGCCAACACACAACTCCCGTTGACACTCCCTTGTTGCGTTCACGCTTGGGCCCCCCAGCCCACACGGCAGTACTCCTCGGAGAATAGCTCTTCGACGTGCACCCAACTCACAGCACGTCGTCCACCGCACCAGCCATGCAAGAGGGCATGACACCTAGTGCTGCACGTCGTCAACTTCGTCGCCCACGTCGGCCAAGCGCACCTGGCCGATGGCAACGGAGCACCGGTTGAAGGCCGGATAGTGCAGCGCCTTCGTCAGGAAGTCGGCCGGCTGCTCAGCGGTCGGGATGTACTTCAGTGAAAACTTCCCGCGCTTCACCATGTGCTGCAGCCAGGCCTGTCGCCGCTCCATATGCTTGAGGTTGCCCGTCAACCCCATACCCTCGGCGACTGTAATGGCCGACTTGTTGTCCACCCGGAGGACGGTCGGCTTCCCGGCATCCAGCTGCCGGAACTCGGCGAGGAGGAAGAGAAGCCGACGTCCCTCCTTGCCGGCTTCGGTAACCGCCACGTACTCCGACTCGGTCGACAACAGCGTCGCGCACTTGATTCGCTGGCTTGACCAGGAGACTGCGGCCCCTCCATAGACGAACACGTAGCCGCCCGCGCTCGTCCTGTTCTGCTTGTCACCGGCGTCGTCGGCATCCACGTAGCCGACCAGCTCCAGCGACTCTTGTCCACCGCCGAACTCCAGGGCGTTGTCACATGTGTTGGCGAGGTAGGTGAGGCAGCGGTCGACCTCGCGCCAGTGCTGGTCGCTCCGCACCGTGAGACCACTCCCCAGCTTGCTGCAGGCGAAGGCGATGTCCAGCCTCGTCGTCGTCGCCGCGAACTGCAGCAAACCGACCTTCTGCCAGTACTCCTCCTTCTGTCGCTCCTGCGCCTCCTCATCGTCGAAGGTGAGCTCGGCGTAGGCGACGACCGAGACCGGCGTCTTCGGGGTGTGCCCGGTCTGCTCCTTGTCAACGAAGCGCCTACACAGCTTGTAAGCGTAGCCCTGTTGGTGCAGCCACAGCTTCCCCGCTGACCTGTCGCGGACGATCTCCAGCCCAAGGTACTTCTGCACCGGCGAGATCTCACGCAACTCGAAGGCGGACTCCAGCAGCTCCTTCAGCTCCTTCAGCATCTCGGTGCTGCTGCTGGCGGCGAGCAGGTCGTTGACGTAGACCAGCACCCAGCAGGCCACTCCGTCCTTGCCGACCTTGAAGTAGAGAGCCTCGTCGGCCTGGCTCTTCTTCCATCCGGCGTCGACCAACACGTCGTTGACCGCCAAGTACCACAGCAGCGGCGACTGCTTCAGCCCGTACAGGCTCTTCAGCAGCTTGCAGACCTGGCCGGTTTCGTCGTTGAAGTAGTCCGGCTGGGACATGTAGAGCACCCAGTCGAGCTTGCTCTGCAAGAAGGCGTTCTTCATGTCGAGCTGCATCAGGTTGAGGTTGAGGACGGCGACGATGCTGAGGAAGATCCTCAGCGTGACGTAGCTGCCCACCAGCGCGAACGTCTCGTCGTAGTCGGCACCGTACACCTGCGTGAAGCCCTTCACGACCAGCCTCGCCTTCTTGCGCTCGACGGTGTCGTCAATGTGGTACTTCGTCGTCAACACCCACCGGTTCTTCATGATGTTGACCCTTGGCAGGCGTTCGACCAGCTCCCATGTGCCCATGTTGATGAGGCTGCGGATCTCCTCCTCCATGGCGCCCTTCACCGCCGGGCCCTTCCAGCTTGCCAAAGCCTCCTTCACCGTCATCGTCGAGATGTCCCAACGGTGTTCAGGGTCGGCCAGCACGTCAGGGTCAAGCTCCAAAAACTCCTCATCTTCCTCGGCGTCGTCGTACAGCAGGTGGTCGTCAGCGGGTCGACATGTGGCCTTACAAAAACAGCATGTGGTTCACAACGTCGTACACTGTGGTGAAGGCAGCGGGGACGAAGAAGTCCAGCGGCCTCCGAACTCGATCCGACTTCCGGGGTTCAGGCCGAACCTCCAGCACGTCACTCTTGGTGGACTCCCCGGCGTCCCCTCCTTCGTCACCGTCTTCACTGCCCTCGTCGTCCTGCTGCACCTCGGTCGACTTCCTGGTTGACCTCTCCCCTATCGCCGACTGTCTGGTTGCCGACTGCTCCGTGGTCGGCTTAACTGCTACCTGCTCCCCTGTCGGCTGCTGCTCCTCGACCTGCTCCTCCCTTGTCGACGTCGGCTTCAATCCCACGTCGACTTGCCTCTCGTCACGTCGGCCACCAGCGATGCCCTTGGCCGGCGCCGAAGGCGACGTCCCACTACTCCCCTCATTGCCGGAGGCCGACATAGGAGTCAGCCCGTACAAGTCGGCCACGAGGGGAGGGGCAGGGGTCGTAGGGGAAGGGGAAAGAGGGCGGACGACCTCGTTGTCCCCATTAGCATGCTCACCGACCTTGGCAAGTAACGGCAGCGTCACTGTCGAGGTATCGGTCGCTGGGGTGGTCGGCGTCCGTCCTGACACCAGCTCGTGCTCCGACTTCCTCTCGGCCAGCGACATATCCTCATAGAACACCACGTCCGACGTGGTGACCACCCGGTTGGAGTCGATGTCGAGGAGCTCCCAGCCCTTGCTCGCCTCCGACACACGAGATGCAGGCCCCACCTGGCCTTCGGCATCAGCTTCCCACCACACTGCTGCTCGGGGACGAGGAACTGCACCATGCAGCCCCACATCCGTGCCAGCGACAAGTCGGGCTTCTGCCCGGTCAGCAGCTAGTACGGCGTCGTCCCCGGCGGCAGCGTCGACCTCTCAAGGCAGTTGCGGACCCAGACGGCCTGCCGCAG